ATTAGTTCGCGGGACATCGGCGGGTCCTTATATACCTGCGGTACCCTCTCCCCAAAGTCATTAGCAAAGTCGTTAATAAGATCGGGCGGGAATCGACTATTTTTCGCGGGAGACCGATTACTTTTCGCGGGAAATTTCTGTTCTTCTATTATGATGTTATAACACGGTATAGTTATTAATTTTCACAATTTTATTATTAATTTATACTTTCAACAATTTGTCGTAACAGTACATATTGTCATTTATACATTTTTGCAAGTTTCTTCGATAAATAACTACGTTTCAACGATCGTATTACTTTCTCGTGATGAGATTAACTTCGTAAGGATTAAAAATCAGGTTGACCTGTGGTCGTAGATTAAAAATAATTATAATGAAGTTAAATTATGTTAAATAATTCTTTTCATAGGAATCAAAAATTTATTCAACGTTTGTTTGTTGTAATACTATGAAATAAATTGTATCGTATATTTCACACGAAATTTAACGTTCTATTTACATGTTATAGCAATTGTAACGTGTACGTTTTTCTGTTTCGTGGTATTTTCATTGTGAATTCTGTGTTTAGAAATTATATAAAACTAAACTAACGTTAGTGTGCTATATTCTAACCTAATTTTCTTAAATTTATGTTGCGATACAGTATATTTGTAATTCCGCTTGAATTTTCGAAATTCAAAGGAACACCGGTAAACTTCGTTATATTAACTTTGTTGTGATAAATGTAAACAATACGTTTATCTCGTTTTATTAATAGAAATAGAGAGATACGGTATATTTCGTCGTTACAAAATTGAGCGTACATATTGTGTTATTGTGTTATGTACCCAAAAGAAAAGTATGTACTTAATTTTCTTGTCTCTTTAAATTATAACTTACCTTTAAGTAAATACAAGAAAATGCAAGAATTCCATAATGTACTTTAAAATTTATAATAAATATGTTTAATTGTTTTTAATAACGGTAGAAGATTTTTAATTTTGAAAGTTTTACAAGTTTTGTCCATAATTTTGTAGAGTGTTTACGTTATTTTGAATATTTTCGATTAATCGAGAAAATAATCGATAGTATAAGTCCACGATATAGATACTCGGAAGCGGCTGGCCGATCACGTTTTTTTTTTCGATCACGTGTGGTAAGAAAGTACATGTGGAGATTTTTAATAATACAATATTTGCACAATAATACCAGTTCAAAATGTAAACGTATACATGAGTTGAAATTGTCACAAGTATTATTACATTAAAAAGTCGCAAATATAATTATAAAAGTAAGTAATATTTAGAGGTTCTGCTATTTTATGTCATAACCTCTTCACTTTTCAGTATGTCCATGTGCTTGACAGTTTTAAAATATAGTAATGAAATAAATATCGATATCACACTGTAGGTATTAACAATCTTAATACTAACACAAAACCTGTAAAACTTTTATGTACTAAAATAATACACTACAAACATATTTTTTATACAATATGTGTATAATGATGTTGTCTTTTAAACAGATGTCAGTTGTATCTTCAAGGGTTAGTGGTGTCTCATCAATTCTAAAAAGTCCTGGTGTTAGATCGCAACTTATTAGACAATCTAATAGAGTATATTTCAAACTTCCAAAAGATCTTAAAAATATTATTTATAATTTCGAATCTGGCAATGGAACAAAGGAATATGAAGATTTAATATGTATCTTACAAGATTCAAGTATAAAGGTACATATTACTGAATTGTTATTGAAATAGCTTCTATTATTTCAATTTAACAACATTGAAAGTAATTTAATACTTCTAACTAATTTTTTGTTATTTTTAATTTTAGGATACAGATTTAATAGAGTTTTTGTCAAATGTAAGGCAATGTATATCATTACTAGGTCCTTTCCATAAAGTATTTGTAGAAACACTTTTGCAAATAAAATGGACCAGTCGTTCATTAGATGTAACATCTTCTTATAAGGCATTCATAGAAGATTTAATTTGTATGCAAATTCATTATGCTAAAACTACAATAGATAATTTAGTTGAACAATTTAAACCAGGTATACTTTGAAAAATTATACATATATAAATAATTATAATAAATTGGTTTTT